TGAATGTCTTAGTGATGTCAGAATTCAGTGATCTTGGGCTCGTTGGATTTGTCTCATCGAGCCGCTCGATTTGACTATAAGCATGTTATGTTTGGAAATCGTTTGGTAATCCAAATTGTGGTTTGAACCTTCCAACAGCGCTTCGAGTCTCTGATTTGTACTCATTTGGGTTCGGATTGAGTCGATTTTGGTGTCGTTGTGTTGGTGTTTCCAAGACGCTCAGTTCGACTATAAGTTTGCTGAAATCAGAAGTCATATGGTCTCCGATTTAATTTTTGAAGTTTCTAATTTGATTTTGCCTCGAGATTCGTGTTCGATCAACGTAATTTTTTGATGATGTATCAATTTTAATCATAATTAATTAATTTCAATTATAATTATTTATTATAAGGTATTTATAATTAATTATAATATATGGTTAATTATAATTAAATCTTTATTAATTATAATTAATGATAATTAATTATCATTAACAATAATTAAGTATTATTTTTTAATTATAATTAATTATTATTAGTAATTAATTATAATTAATTTCTAAAAAAAAGAGATAAAAAAATACAAATGCAAATGCTTCTCTTCCCTTGACTCGATCAGTGTGCAAACTTCGTCGTCGTCGTCGGTATGCAAAGGTATAATCCTTATAAACCATAAAACTCCGAGAACTCGCTTTTGACGCTTGTAATGCGACAAAACAATCACCTATACACGTTTTTCTTAGCGTGGTGGGAGGAAGTTCATCGCAGTGCTCTTGACAAATCGGGTAATCACCTAAAATCTCTTCTTTCGTGTTCGTTGCGCACCGGAAAACCGCATATACATGCTTTTCTTAGCGTGGTGGGATGGGAACCCGGTACGATGCATACGACGAGATCGGGATATTCATAAGTACCCGCTCGCGGGGAAACAACTCAAACTGATTGAGACCTCAGTGGATATGACTTGGACCATTTGAATTCAAAATTCAAATGATCAAAAGACTCAAATGAGCAAGTTTTGGAAATGAACAAGGCTACTTGGGTTTGGACTCGAATGTGCCTAGAACTTGAATGAACCTAAGCATAATTCTTTAAATTTGAGATCAACTTTGACATTGGTTTGAACATGATTGAAACAAATGAGCAATGAAGGACTTCAAAATGTTAAAGAATTTTTAGGAAATGTCGTTCAATCCCTATTCAAGCAAATAAAATTGCTTGCACTCTGACATGGAACTCTTTGGACAACATCATCAAATGATCGTAAGTGAAAGTGGAAGTGCATATTCAAATTAACAAATATCAAAGTCATCATACACGATCAACCTAAAGTGAGTGTATAAGATGAGTGTATGTTATTCATCTCAATCATGAATGCCATACTCATAAAGAACATATGAAGAATGTGAAGCGGCACATAGATGGATATAGTGGTTATCTAAAAGCACGAAAAGCTGAAACATATAAACATGGTAGGTTGCTAATAAATTCAATGATTTGTTGGCTAATGTTCACAAAGGGGATATGCTCCATATATGACGAGCCTCCAATGCACGTGGATACTTGTGTGAGGTGTCATCCCTGAGAAATGATAGAAGGAACTTTCTAATGCATAACAATATACTTATAGGTGGCAATCAACAACATGCAGTGAATGTTATAATACTCCTACAATCAGTAATAATCCAGTACTAAGCAAATATACTAGCTCCCTACAAGCAAGAGTAAAGGGTCCTTATAAGGGATTCGACATACACACTAAATGTTACATACGAGCAGAATGCCAAAAGACCACAACAAGTGTAAGCTCCTACGACCAAGGCAGGATGCTCGTTAGTGCACTACGATTCACCTGCAGAAAGCAACGAGTAGTGCACGACAGTCTACCTGTACGAAGCAGCGAACAATTCTATCCAGAAGCTGCTACACCACGCCACCGGATCTGCAACCTCCGTATAAGCAGACAGAATGCGTCAACAAATATTTCAAAGTATCCCCTGCATGTGCATCGTAGTTTGTATACACATAGGTACACTAAAGGGGAAAATATAATCCCAAACCCGCATGGGCCGCGACGAGCGTGTTATTGGTACACACGTGACGTCTAGGGATGCTGCGCGGGTTATTAAATTTGAACCCGGTCCTCCTATGCAGATAAAAGGAGTGGTCAGGGTTCAATTATAAAATGCCCCCCAAACACCCACATAGGCCCCGACGAGCGTGTTATTGGTATACACGTGACGTCTAGGGATGCTGCGCGGGTCAACAAGTGAATTCAAATTCGAACCCGATCCTTTTATACCAATCAATAGGAGTTGACAAGGTTCGAACCATTAAGCAAATATGTGGCTGTGGCGACCAGAATATTTGTTTTAATACATTCATATTAGGCCTTCAAAGCCTAAAATCAAAAGAATTCACTCTCAAAGGCATAAAGCCAACGAAACCCGATCCTCTGTCGACAGCCAGACAGAGTCGACAAGGTTCAAGCTTTAAATGGAAATAACCCCCTAACACCCCGATGATGGCCGTGTTGAATGCATATCTCAATCGGAGGGGTTCCCAAATATTTTCAAATATCTCCTAAATATCCAAAGTCCATTTCAAATATTCCAAAGCTCCACCCAAAATATCCATAAAAATTCAAAATCCAAAAAAAACTCAAAATCCCAAAAATATTTAAAATTGAAATAAATCCATCAAAAACTTAAAGCAAAATCCATCCACCCTCCGCAACAGTTTGCTGAAGTGGATAAATTCGAAATATACTTCTGCTCACAAAGAGCCAAATGGCTAGTCGAAAATATCACTAGGATTCATTCTCAAACAATCTCTTGCTAGTAAGGACGTGGTACGTGTCCTCTAACCGGCAGTTTCGCCGCCAAATGGCACTGCAGGTAAACGGTTATGACCCGGGACCCTCTGAACCGAGTGGTTTTGCCGCCAAATGGCACCACAGATAGCGGTTATGGCCAGAGCCAATACGCTCCTTAGTGGCGTTAAATCTTTGAGATATGAATCAATAGGATATGATTGATAGGGCACAAAGCCCTCTGTTAGCTAAGGTGAATTCAAATTTGTCCCCTTAGACAAGCACCCAACCCCGGTCTACAAGGTACCCTTGGACGAAGCAACCCATGGCTGCCGACAAGGATCCTTCTGTCAGGTTGGGTCGACTACCTCCTCTGACCAAGTAGACCAGGGACCACGATGGTCCGGGACGACGGAACCATGAGATCTTGATCGGGTCTATCATCCATTCCCCCATCACCCGCTTTAAGTGCAAGATGGTGAAATGTCTATTTTAAATATCAAATTCTCCAGATTCTCAAATCCAAATCCAGTTCTCAAATATCCAAACCCATGCTGCTACTATATGCCGGATACCACGTATTTATTGATCACGTATATTCTATGTATCTGATTGATGACTAGCCTTAATCGAAAGTTCTCTCTCGTGATCGGGAGGGGTAATTAACTATAGGGGCTTGCGCCTATAGGAAACCAGAACTCAGATCATAAAGTCCTCACAAAATTAGGGCGAAATCTCTGGGTAGTGTCTTATCTACAATCCCATCTGCCTTCCAAAATTTACCCCGGAACTTAGTTCGTTAAAACTCCCTCGCTGAAAATAAAAAAAGAAAAGCGGGCGGGGAGGCCGGGGCCGAATTTTCGGAGCCCACACAAACTTAACTTGCAGTTATCATACTTTGCGGGATTATTATACCTTGACGAGATTTTTAGTATTATAGCTTAGTAAATACAATTTTGGCATATAGGTTGTTGGATTTCTATGAATGTTTTCTATTGATATAACTTAGTGCAAGTATCTATAAATAATAGCGCATTGTAGCACGTCAAAATAACTTTTAGCTGGAATAAAATTCAGCATTATAGATGTGAAATTTTTTAATCCTTCCAAAACTTTATTCCAAGATCAAGTGTAAGACTTGAAACATTTTGAGAAAAACGACATCCCAAAAGGCTATCTAACTATATATTTTGTGTAAATGGATATCAATAATAGTGTGCTAAAGCACTTAAAAACAATGTTTGGCTAGAATAAAATTCATTTTTATCGGTGCTAAGTTTTCTTCATAGTCCTAAGACTTAGACTTCATGACATGATCAAGCGTGAGACTTGAAACATTTTAGGAGACACTATCTCTTTGTTAAAGCGAGAAGGTTTGTTGCTCAAAGTACTTGGTTTATTTCTTTACATTCTATTTATTTTATTTTCTTTTCTTTAATTAATGATTGATTGAAAATATGATTAGTGTGTTTTAAAATTTGTAACATGGTTAGATTTGTTATATGCATTATGTCTTACATATTGTAATCATCATGATTTTTCTTACCTATGGTTTAAGTTCATTAGGAATTCAAAACTTTCAATAGAGACTTGCTGCTTGGTTAGTTTCTTTACCTTACGTTAATTTTATTTCTTTTAAATAATGATTAATTGATAGTATGATGAACTTTAAGATTTGTTACATATCTAACGTCATTATAAACATAATGTCTTAAATATTGTGGTTTTCAAGATTCTTCATTCTTCTGGTTTAATTTCATTAAGAAATCAAAAAATTTTCGTAGAGATTGGATTTTTGTTTTCTTTCAATTCATCATCTTTAATAGCAATTAATTGTCTGCATTAGCTAGTTTGCTTCCCTGCAAAAATTACGTGCTAATTCTTTGCATTTACAGCATTAAATTGTGAGCATTTCATTTACAAAATCTATAAAAGCAAGCATTGCATGGCTTTTCATTTACCCCAACGTTACTTTGCATGTTATTTTTGCATTAGGTACCCTAGACCCTTAGACAATCTACGTCAAATAGACTCGTTTTGAAAGAGTAAAAGCAGCACCGTTAAGTCTAAACAACATAACTCAATATGAGAAAATGATAGTTAAAATGCCAAAACTGAAAATTTGACTAGAGATTTCATGAATTTGAAGGCATTATGCACATGTATGGAACATGTAATTTTAAGCTGAGGAGCATAATTATGTTTAGTACCTGATGTTCCACTTTTGTACTATCATAAACAACATCTAATCTTCTTTGCAATTTCTGCAGACATTCTTCCTGAACCACAAATATATCCAAAATAAATAGTAAGCCGCTTTCCATTTTCTGCATAACAAAAAGGTTCCATAACTAATATCCAACACCATAAATCCATTATCGCTTTGTACCAAAAAAAAAAAAAAGAGTGCTCTGAAAAAAAAATATAAGAATAAATGTTGATCGTGCTTAAAAACAGTCGGTATTCAAATCAGGTAAGCACGTGATTAAAGGTTACATGGTCATTGATATGCTTCATAATGACATTGAATTCAAACACAACAGCAAAAAAGAAAATATTGGATCTTATAGAAAGCTACAGTAGGTTTAGAAAATGCATGAGAACATCCCCTACGATGTATAGTCAAATACTCAAACATATCTTCATTTAATGCATGAAGGACAAGCGTATTAAGGTACCTGATTTTGACAATTAGTAATTAAACTTCATGTAAAAAAATAATTTTCTCTCTCCAAAACCAGACCCTTCCCAATTTTATGCAAACCTAACTATGCCAAAGCATTGCAAGCATAAGTAAACGGTTTCTTTACTATATAGGAAGACTTGTTCAATGATCTACTGTGTATTCTTACTGTTAGTTAAATCAAATGATTTATAAAAGAAATACCTGTGAAGGAGTCAATTCGAAAGGTATTCGGGCAACACTCTCTCTTCCCTGAGCACAAACACAAGAAAGTCCTTTCCCAATCCATGCTGTTGATCCTGTGACAACGTAAGCTGTAGCATTGCATGCAAGACGGTAATGCATTTCCCAAAAAGCACATAGAAAAATTGACAGACTTCAAACTTGATTAAGAGAAAAACTATTCCATTTTCTAAAGAAACAGATAATCAATGTTTGATGTGCCAAAGACTGATTTGTAGTTATTATTAAAGCACAAGGTAATAGTTCTAGAAATCAAGTGCAATGTTAGAAAACATATCATAAGCATCATTTGCAAATAAAGGCAACAAAACAAGTAACTCAATAAGGATATCCTAAAAACAAATAAAACAAACATATCATAAGCAACATTGCCATCAAAAAATAAAATGCTTGATAAATAACATTATTTGAATAAGTTGAACATATGTAGAGCTTGTTCTACGTTATTGTTTTCTATGATAATGAAATGTATGATGGATTTAATTTGTTCCCAATTGCTGCCAACAAATGCTATTTGTATAGTTTAGGCTTATCTAACAAAGATACAAGATCCAATTGTCAACCTATGACCTCTATCGTTACAAACCAATCTCTTCTAACGAAAAAGTAAATTATTCTATCCTACTAAAAAGCTTTTGGCTAAAAGCTTTTAGTTCATCATTCAATACAATGACCAATTCATCAATCCTAGATTTACATTCTCAATAATAAATTATATTAGCAAACTAAGAAATTCAAAACTTTTTTGGAATGAGAAAGTACAGAATTTAACATGGATGCAAAGTGAATTCATGAAGATAAGATAAGGTTGTTTTAAAATCTATCCGTCCTTCAGATTCCATTATTAGCTTCCATATACATTTATGCCTTTTTTAAACAATATTACATGCATACGTTCTCATGCCTTGACAAAAAGTATCTCCAATTTAATACCAACACCACCAAGTTGAAGTTCTAATTGTTAACATTCATTGAAGGAGTTCTTCTGAATGTATGCTACCAGAGATTTCATCCTAAATGTAACGTACAAATATTTATAACCAAATGACAGTTTCACAATACTGTTTGTTTGAAGTTGGGATATTCTGTTAATCAGAAAATTCAACTCAAGTTCAAAAAGATCTGTTTGTGCGTGAAATTGTCTCTAGTATTTTGCTATGTTCAACAAATATACAAGTATTTCAACCATCCAAGTCTGTTGCCAATAAAAGGTCAATTGGTATGAGCATCAAAAGTCATTTCAGATCAAAATAAAATCTAAAGATGCATTGACTCTTCAACTAACAAACTCTTAACCAACACAAGAATTCAAACTAAGTCTTTGATACACAAACAAATACTACAGGAAAAGCAGCTTTTACTAGCAGCCTTAATCCGTCGGTAAAGACCGAAATGCGCCGTAAAATCACCGTCGAACAGTTCCGCCGGATATGTCGTCACAAGTTCCGGCGTATATTTATCCGCCGGAAAATTCCGACAGTAATAAGGCATTTTCCTGTAGTGAAACTTATGATAACTATACATAAGAACATCATCCAAAAAGCCGAAAATCCAACTGTATTGAAACTCAAACTTCAGGCATGCTTCAGGCTGAAGGGAGTATCAATAGAAAACAAACGTTTTTACCATTCTATTTTTTGCCAACATGTTTGATTGGTAGGAAGAAAGACAAAAACGTAAGTAGCAATACTGGCTTAAGACTCCGCTTTTTTTCCTAGCTTATCAATCCATTAAAAATTCGTATTTTGAACAGACCAATAAAATATAGCCTGTCAACCCCAAATCAGTTATGAAGCACTTTTTTTAAAAAAAAATTTTGGAACGGTATGTGAAAACTATTTAAGTATTTGGCTCGACTCTTTAAATCGGAAAAACAACCGACTTTTCACCGTTACTTGATATAAATTACACTAGCTGAATGGTTTGAAAGTAAAGAAGTCGTCCCGGTGATGGGCCCTGCCCTACTTCAATTTATTTCCACACTAACATTCAATACTTCTTCCTTAAGTTGGTCAGCAGGAAAAAGCAGTAAATGCTCTGAAGCCACTGCTTCCAACCCGCCAACTTCTCTGCTTCATTATCCTGCTACGGCCAAAACCTTTTCCTTTGAAAATATTGAGGGTAATAAACTAATGTCCATTATCATGTACAGATCAAATCCATATAACAATATCGACTCCTTAGGGGCAGGATCTAGTCGGTCAAATTAACATTCAAAATCTAGAAAGGACGTGAGGTTAGCCCTCTTCGCTATTACTTTTCTGACATGCCAACCAAATGCAAAAAAAAAAAAAAACATCGCAGCGACCGATTCACTGTTTCTTAAAAACGAGAAAACTACGTAAATCCCCCAATAACCAGAATCTGGCATCCAATCACTTTTCATTCATACCAATCCAAACCAAACGGTCCACACAACACGTCAGAGAGAATTCGCAACGTACCAGAAGAGGGGCTGTAGTTGCTCCCACGATCCAGTCCGTGAATCCTCCTCACAGCCACGGACGACTCTCCGCTCTCCCCCATCACTAACGCCGCCACGCCCTAATCCTCCAGGAAATCTCTCATCGCACGTAGAGCCTCAAGAACCTTCCATCCCGCAATTGGATTCACATCCAACTGAGAGAGATCGGACGTCGGTCTCGAATTCTTAGGGCTCCGGTGGCTGTCGCAATCACAGCACCATCCAACGAATACAAGAAGCTTCCTCGGCGAAGAGAAAACGCAGCACGATGTATCCGATGGCTCGCAGAACTGGAGGGATACGAGGTGTATCGTACGAGGTCGGGAGTTTCGAACTTCGAAGAATGCGTAAGAGAAAGGAACGGGAAGCTCGCTCTGAAATCTGCAACTTCTATTCTCGACCAGCGATTCCTTTATTTCCTCATATAGAAGTGCCTGCTTTCGTTCCCTCCCACTCGCTTTCTGGATGGTCAATATCTTTTACAGTTTGGTACCTTCGTTTTATTATTTTACATGAAGGGTATGCTAAGTTAGTGAATTAATTAAGGAAATTTATGATTGATGAGACTAAAAGTTATTGCTAATATATCTGTTTACCCAACCAAAAAAATAGCATTTAGGATTTAATTATAAAATTGTTAAAAATATTTAAAAACTATATATTATTTTCTTATATTAAATGATTCTTTATTATTTTTCTTCTAAATTTTTATTCTTTTTATCATTTTATTATAATAATTATTTAAATCATAATCATTTTCTCTCTTCCAAAATAAACTAGTCGGCTCGTGAGCAAGCTCAAACTCAAAATAAAGCTAAAGCTCTAACTCGATTAATTAATCAAGCTCAAATCAGAGGTGACTCAAGATCAACTCGACTCATTTACACCCCAAATAAAGAGTTCATATTTGTATCACCTAAATTTTATAAAAGCAAAATCAGTTTTTTTTTTTCCATTACAGCCTTTAGATTTTACAAATTCATCATTATTTTTCTTGTTCGCGACTTCACTTATCGCGCCGCAAGCTATAGCCTTCTTTGGTACTTCCTCGCCTCCAGACAGCATCTGTAGCCTTCTCCTCCCTCGCCTCGGCCTCCTTTTTAGAATGATATGGTCCACAAATTTAAAGAAAATCCATAACACTTCATTGATCGCTTGTATTGATTTATTTGATCATAGAGCATTAGTTTAACATTTCGTTGTCTTAATATTGTCGGAATTAAGTTATCTTCAAATTATTGGATTTATCTATTCGAGACACATGATTTGATTATAATCATTGAAAATTTATAGATAATTCAGTTCTCTAATAAATATTCAAATATTTTCAACTTGTTAAATTTATTGTAAGACTAATATTATAACTGAATAATTTATTTTTTAAAATTACTGCTATAATATTTAGCTAACATAATAAATAATGATTTTTTAGGAACATAAAGTTTCTTTAGGTAAATTCATAAAACCTACAATGTTGTAGGTGAAATCAGTAAAATATAAGACAAGATAGTCCAAATATCTCATCATGTTGTTGCATCCATCCAGCGACAAGCAACGACCGACCTGAGCACCCTCTAATCAGTGCCACGAGCTCTGATAGAGCCCACAATTGTATTGGTGGTCTCCATTCTTTTTATCTGCCGACTATCTGCTTGCTTTACAGCACAAAGCAGTAGGCTTAAGTCTAGGAATTGTAAACGAGTTTAGCTTATTTTAAATCACTTCTAATTTATGTGAGTGAAGATTTGTATTAATCAACAGGTTGAATTTGAGATGAATTCCTTATTGTTTTATAAAATAGCTTTTTAATATAAAAAATTATTAAATTAAAAATTTTTATACTAAAAAGTTATTTTAGAAATCAATAAAAAATTCATTCAAGATTAAGGTTTAGTTTTGGACGACTTTCTTATTACTTCTCAAAGCAATTTTTTTAGTGTAAAAATTTTCTATTTATTACTAGAAAGTTGCTTTAAGAAGCAAAAAAAAGTCGTCCCAAATGAAGCCTAAGGTTTCATTTGGGACGACTTTCTTACTACTTCTTAAAGTAGTTTCTAGTTCAAAAATTTTAATTTTTGTATAAAAAGCAACAAGAAAGCTATCCCAAATAAAGCTTAAACCAGATTCTATATTTGAGACTTCGCTTAAGCAATTTTTGTATTAAAAAGCAGTAAGAAAGCCGTCCCAGACAAAGCTTAAACCAAATTCTATATTTAAGACTTTGCTTAAGATGGCTTTCTTATTGCTTTGTAAATCAGCTTTTTAGCTCAAAAATTTTTTTTCAAAAAATTTTTGTACTAAAAAACTGCTTAAGAAAGCAATAAGAAAACCATTTCAAACGAATCCTTAGTCTTTAAGAGAAATTATAATATCTTCATCATCGTGGTATAGATAGGCCCAAATCATGAGTTTGTCATTAGGTTGCATCAATTATGATATGATAACGGCATTGAAATTTGAAGGATATAGACATGTTCAAATCACTGAATATTATGACTATTTTAATTCAAATTTTAATGTTGATGATAGTAAAAACACAATCAATCAAGTATTATTTTACAGTGTCATATCATGATATTAATATCAATACATAATCATTCAAAATATTTTATTAAAGATTTAGATTTGATTTATGAAATTAGCAATGTTTCTATTAATTAGAAATAAATTATGTTTATAGACCAATCACCAATAATTTATTTGCCATTTGACAATGCAATTTCCAGATATTTAATTAACATAGTTTTTATGTGGTTGATTATTCATAATAGGAAAACATTTGCTCATATATTAATCAATTCCCTTTTTTTACTTGCATGCTTAATTGTAATATCAATAGGTAGGGGCAGACCTAAGAAAATATAAGACAAGTTTTTTATTATTATTTTTTGGACATTTCAATCATTAAGTCAAATTCAGACACACATCAAACACTTAAGCTTCGAACTCAATATCTTTTTGTTATAGTCAAAGCTCTCAACCAACATATCAAGATGAACTGCGTACCTCTATAAATTTTCATTTTAAGTATATACGATAAGCAAGAAAATCCAAATTTTTATATGTCAACAAATTCAAATAAATTTTCAATTACATTCTCTTAATGATTTGACTCAAGAGGTATTGTGCCGGTTTTTGGATGCTGTGTGTTTGGCTGATAAGGACGATGATGACTAGAACCCGCCTTGGCTCCCTTTTGGATGGCCATTTGTTTCTCCTTGTTGGTGGTATTTCACATGGCCTGGCATAATTTTTGCACCCTGTTCATCCGCTCAAGTCTGATCTTATGGCAACCAGGGAAGCTGGATTCATTGTGAGTTGGATTCTACACTGCTGAGCCTGTTGGCTTTGATGTTTTGAATAGTTGTGTGCGGGTTTCTAATACCCTGAGTCCCTAGTCGTGTTTTTGGCTTTTTTGGCTGGTGCATTCTTTGTAATTTTTTTTGGTTTTGATCTTTTTATTAGCTAGGCTACTTTTGTATGCCTTTATGATTTTTGGTATATCAATATATGGGATTAGCCCCAAATTTACCCAAAAAAAAAGACTTAAAATGTTGATTTAACAAATATAATTTTAATCATTGTATATCTCCAACACCATCCTTGTGTCTCTTAGCTATTATGCTCAAATTCCACTAAATTTTCTCAAATCTAATAGAAGAATCAAAATCATTGAGTCTGGTCCCCTATGGGAGTCAGCTGCACATGCAGTGGTGTCAAGTTCAAGTCACCCATCCACAGAAGAAAGCTTTTTTTTCCATGGTAGGTGATAGATAAGGCCATAAGCCATAAGGATTGTACATAAACTGATGGCCAGTTTCAGAAAGTTGGTTCCAACAAGAAAAAAATGAGTAAGAGTACTTCCACTTTTTCTTTAATTGATTAAACACACCATCTGATTGCCAGATTTTTAAGTATATATCTTCTATATATACAATATATAGAAATTAGATGCTGAACAATCATCATAACCTTCATCTTTTATATGAGATGTGCACTTTTTTTCACAAATTATTTCTTAAAAAAAAAATAAAAAAATCACATACTAATTAACAACAAAGATTTTCAATTTTGCATGAGAGAATGCTCAGATGGATGAGTAGTTTCACTCTTACAGAATGAGAAAGAAGCACATACGTGAAAAAAGGTTGAGTAGCTCCAGTGACAGATAAGATTAGAGAGTCGTCTTAGATAATTTGGTCGCATAAAATGTCGACCTATTGATAATCTGATTAAGAGAGTAGATGTGTTAGATTTAATCTATGTTAAGAAATGTAAAGGTAGATCGAAAAAATATTTATTAGAAAGTATTAGAAATGATTTTTTTATTAAATTAAGGCTTGTTTGAGACGGCTTTTCTACTGCTTCTTAAAGCAGCTTTCAAGCACAAAAATTGAAAATTTTGTACTAAAAAGTTGCTTTAAGAAGCAGTAAGACGGCTTTCTTATTGTTTCTAAATTATGTTTTTAATACAAAAATTTTTAAACTAGAAAATTGCTTTAGAAAATAATAAAAAGTCATCCCAAAGGAAGCCTAAATTAAGAATTTGATTATTATCATGATACCAAAGAGAAAAAAAATTCATATAACTGATCCCACTAAATAGAATAAAAGTTTGATATTGTTGTTGATGTAATATGAATATTTATAACTTCACAAGAATAAATTATGACTGAAATTTAAGCACAAAACCAATTTCTTCATAAGCATTCACCAAATGAAATTTCCTTGATGCTATATATATCATTTAAATGAGAGAGAGAGAGAGAGAGAGAGAGGATTGATTAAACTGTGCACAATGTCAAAGGTTAAGTGACCTGCTATTACTAGTTTCTACCAACCCTGACAAATATTAAATTCGTCAAACAAATAAAAACTATAAATCACAACCGTTGAAGTACAAAAAATGCATTGAAGTTTTGATTTGATGATTAAGGAATGGATATTAAATGGTGGATCTACTGGCTTGAATTACGTGGCTGAAGGCTGTCCACATGCAAATCTGGAGCAGTTTGGTCCTCTTCTAAGTCTCTCTTTTGGGTCCAACTTACACTACTTTATTATGAACCGTTTCCACTTGAAAATTTTTGCATCACTGCTCTCACGTGGCAACTATGATGAACCACGTGCGTTCGAAGGTAGGTAACTGGCTTCCATGTGGAATATGAGCCGCTTAGAAAGGACCGGAATTTGACGAATTAAATAATTATTCGGCTCGGTTGGTTAAATAAATTATTTTGAATTTATTATTTATGATCAGTTCATTTCTTTATTCGAAATGGTTTATGAAATGGAATTTATGAAAATAAATAATTTTTTCTTATGAAATTGTACAAAAAAAATTAAGGTAATTGGGTTCCAAATCGCTAAGTTGTTTGGCTGTCACATGAACTTAGATTTAGTATTAATCACTTTGGCTATTTTATTTTCGGGATCAAATGGCATCTCTTTGATTGTACGAATAATATTATGTGCATGAAATAATTTCTACATTGTATAAATTATGAAAATTTTGTGAACTGATTATGTCCTTCTACCAAATAAAAAAGGAGAAATGATAAGTCCTTTTTATACTATAATATTTCAAGATTTTGTAATTATTTAATACAAAAATGTATGTGTTGGTTTGGCATTAACAAATGTAAATAATTTGGTGAGGAGAGTGAAAGTGAAAGAGAAATAAAAAAATAGATGGTTTGTTTTGTTTCTCAATACTCATAATAAAACCAGCAACACATATTAATCATAATATTTCATTCATGAAACTCATTTATCATTTTCAAGTCACCCGTCATACAAAACCAAACAAAAGAAGAGAATCTAATGCAATACCTTCGATGCCATATGGGTTTATATATATATATATATATATAATTTGTATGCATGTGAAAAGACTTTGTAAATAGTTAAACTTTATTTCCACTAAAACAGTAAAACAAAGTCTTAAACATTAACTTGCTCCATTTTATGATAGGGGCATCTTCATACTAATAAATCAGATTTTAGTAGCAATTTTTAAAAATATGGTACCATGTAGTCTTCTTTTGTTTGTTTATTTTTTTTTTGATAAAAAGTGGAGTTTCCTCTCCCATTTAACGAGAATTAGTCAACGCCTCATTTTTGAGCCCTGACTGATCATATGAGAAGCCAGACCATTCCACACCAAGCTGTTTTAATTTTTCCTGTTATGGCTTTGAGCTATATTTGTTTTCTAATAAATAATTTGCACTGTTAGAAAAACACTATGATTAGCACCTGAGTAATTATGCTTACTTAAATTGAAGCATTTCTGCCTGCTTGCATGCCATATTTAGAGCTCAAATAGTTGAGAGCATGTGGCAAACCAAAACCGTTTGAAACGTTTCTTTTTTGTATATTATCTTATCTGCCAAACCCGCATAGCTTTTGCATACACATTCAGTGCATATAAAGCTTTAGGTTTCATATCTAAAATCCATTTTAGTGATGTCATTGATGAACCTAACACTCTGACCATCATTTATTTTTTCTATATATATATATATATACACACACACACACACACTACTATATTAATCAACAAACATTAAGTCCAAAAATTATATACATATTTATATTCTATTATTTTCTACAGATACCCTATCACACATTTCCTATATATGCATAGCTACGATGATTTATTATTCTGTGCGGAGTGCGGAGGGCGTCCGGAGACCAATAAAAATGCACCACGTCACCCCATTGCTGGGTACCCAGCTCGGTACCCGCACTCGGTACCGCTGGGTACCTAGTGCTTAACCGGACGGAGAAACTTGCTTGTTTTTTTAAACAAATATGACAGCCTACTACTACAAAGAAAACAATAAACCTAATGATTTGGAAATTGGTACCAAAGCAGTAAAATACAGGAATAAAAGTAATTAGTCACAGCAATATTATAAGTGCTTGGATCAAAACACATTTCAGTCACGCTGCAACATAAAAGAAGACAACATAGAAGGTTTCAATATGGAAAATGAAGAGGTTAAGTACCGTATAAGCATTTGTTATCAAACCATCAGCCATAGCAGCGGATGGGATCAGTGCAGCCTTTGGAAGCAGATTGCTTGGAGCCTATGCGGCCACCTTTTTCAAGGTACTGCTGATGGTAATCCTCCGCTCTGTAGAATTTCTTTGCTGGAAGGATCTCTGTGACAACCTTCCTTCCTAAGATCTTCTGTTGATTCTCTAAAGTCTCTCTTGCAGCTTTCTCCTGCTCTGGTGAGTAGTAGTATATCCCAGAACGATATTGCGTTCCCACATCATTGCCCTGCATGGTTTAATTGATGAAAATCATCGTCTCGGACAGAAAAACAAACAACAGATGACAATATGAAGTAATAAAATGAATACTGTATGTGCATTTGCACATGAAATGAGAGAATACATAAACAATCTGATGCTGCTTCATGAGCATGATTAGGGCTGCAAACGAATTGATATGAGCAAAGCAGGCCCTTGTTCATGTTTTATTCTGTTTATTATCAGCTTGTTAAAGCTCATTTTGAGCTTGATTCAAGCTTTATGTTCTTGTTCAAGCTTGATTTATTTAACTTAATGGACGTTCATGATAGTTTGTATTTGATTTATGTTGGGTTGTTTCATGCTTATTGAGCTCTAAACAAGTGAGCATTATCGAGCTATAAACAAGCTTTACTTCTAAAAATTCATTAGCTTAACAAATAAGCCTTATCAATCCCACTATCAAATAATTACATTGAGCATGCTCGTGAACATATCTATCATTTGTTTTCAAACTACCACGAATATATCTTGCAATTGCTTTCAAGCTACCAAATAAACATATTCACAAACATATCTATCCAGTGTTCTCGAATTATTAAATAAGCTTGTTCATAAACATATCTAATGAGTGTTAACGAGCTATCAAATAAGCACATTCATGAATATATCTAGCTAGTATTTTCGAGCTACTAGCTGAGCTCGTTCACGAACAAATGAGCTATGTTTCTTTTTATAACAAAATAAAATTGTAAAAAAAAAATTATAATTAAGTAACATATAATATATATTTAATATAAATTAATAATTTATTTTAATTAATATATATTATAATATTTAATTACTTTTAAAATTATTGATTCATAATTATTATATAATTAAATTATATTAAATATAAAATATTTATAATATGTATGTTCATCAATTTTATAATTAAATATTAATCAAATTTTTAACGAGCTTATTCACGAGCTTTGTATCAAATAAGAATCGAACTTTTGTCAAGCTTTATGTCGAGTTTGCTCAAAATCTTTAAATGATGTTATTCATGAATATAAATGAGTCAAAAACATAATTTATTCAAGCTTGTTTAATTGTCCTCTTCTCTCACTACAATCAATGGCAATTGACAAGCACATTAGCCCCATAGCAAAATACAGGGGATGTCGTGAGAGATTATATAAAAAGATAGAGGAGAGCATAAATAGGGGAACTTTTTTTTGTTGCATTGACAAGGGATTCTTTGAATCATACCCAATGCACATAGGCGAAGACCGCTAAAACACATATATCGGGCTCTTTTTAGTTAAGTTCTTATTTTATCATTTTTTACAGCATTTATTCCCTGTAACCAGCAATATTCCAAGGAAGCTCATTATAATCTCTCTCTTCTTGCCCACAAATAGAGAGGATCGAGCTCAAAACTTACCTGAGCTTTGTGTTGATAGTTTTTGCCTGTTAACATCTTTAGGTACTCTCATTGAGATTTTTTCCAAACAAGTTGAAATATTCTAATGGAAGATCACTCAAACCATGGGGTCCAACCATTCGCCGTGGTCTAGAACTCTCGATGTCCGCCACAGGAAATAATGTGGAGAGCATGTCCTCGCAACCCAACCTAATATCGCTTCCGTCTCACTTCTAAGACTTGTTATGCATGGCAGACACCCTATTGCGAGCTAATTTGAGATAATCCACCCGCACAGGAGCTCTGACCAACTTTGGGATCCTTCACCATCCAACATCTAGGAGGCTCTATAATTGACTCCAATGTCGTTGACAATGATCCCAATAGCTTTGATCTAGATTGTTGACCTGTTAATGAATCGCCCCCTAAAGGTAGTGCTTGAAAATCACTCGGAGTCTTGTTGCCCAAGATGAAGATTATGTAATTGGATCATCATAAGAGGCTCACTAACCTCATTGAACATCTTGATAGCTTCAATAACATTATGGCACTTGACCTCCTTTTTGACAACTTATGTAGTCGCATATTCACTATGGCAATATCATATTGAAGGATGCCATATGCATCAGGTTCATCAAACTCCTACCTTGCAGTATCACCACTTTTGATGGGCTAGGTCATTAGTTTGTAGTGGAGTTCAACTCTTCCAAGCAGCCATCAAAATCCACTCAAACCCTAGTATGCATCAAGAGAAAAGGGAGCCCCTTTAATATTAAATGTACCATTATACAAGGGTGTCCTGAGAGGTCAACTCGAAGTTCAAGGTGGCCAAGATAGCTTCACTCTCAATCTCCATAATTCCCTATTCTAGCATTCAATAGCAAAGAACCCAATGACACTGTAGAAATATGCTAGAGCGAGCCTCTAGGTTCGTGGATCCGGATGAATGTAATGCGGTGCATAATAGGCCTATTATTATATCTAAGGTTAAAAAAATTATTACAGTCATATATTTTATGTGGTTGTAATTTTGTGTTTTATAACAAGACAATTTTTATAGGATTGATTATACATTGTGCGATTATCTTGTTGTACATGTTAGGAAGGGGTGCAAGTGTAGGCTCTAAATATTCAATGCAAAAAATGGTTACAACAATAATACATAAGGCAATGAGTCATTTAGGGATAAGACAAAATACAAAACTAGGCCTAGTTGGCTATGGAATGAAGTTGTTTGACTTTCAAATGCAGAAATTGGATTTAAAAGTCATAAAATTAATGCAAGAGTTAAAAGCCATATCATTGTGGTATTGGGCAAAACCTGAATGTTGCAACAGGACAATAGTATTACAACAACATTAAGCATTTATCCCACTACGTGGGGTCAACTACACAAATTCTTTTTCTCCATTGTGTCATGTTAAGAGTCGATTTCTCATTTAAATCTAATAAATAAAGATCATTTTTAATAATTTCTAAACAAGTATTTTTAGGTCTACCTCTACCTTTCTTAAAATAAGTTAAATCTAATACATCTACTCTCCTAACCGAGTCATCAGAAGGTCGCCGTTTTATGTGACCAAACCATCTAAGGCGACTCTTTCTAATATTATCTTCCACGGGAGCAACTATAACCTTTTCACATATATGCTCGTTTCATATCCCCTCTCTAAGAGTAAAGCACTCACCACCTGTGCATCCTCCTATGTTCAATTTTAAATCAACTCAAATGAAAATCATTAGACTCTAAGATTGACCTCCATAATTAAAGTTTGTCTTCAACTCCCTCTCTAGTCTTATAAACAAGAAGAATATCATAAGCAAAAAGCATACACCATAATACAACCTCTTGTAAATGTCTAGTAAGAACATCCATGACTAAAGCAAAAAGATACGGGCTTAAAGCTGATCCTTGATATAATCCAACTGAAATTGGAATATACTTGGTCAAGTCATCTTGTGTTTGAACACAAGTAACAGTTTCTGCATACACATCCTTAATGACTTTAATATAAGCATTATAAACCCCTTTTTTTCTAGAACTCTCTATAGAACTTCCCTTGGAACTTTATCATATGTTTTCTCTAAATCAATTAATATCATAGGTAGATCATTCGTATTCTATCTGTACTTCTCCATCAAACCTCTCAATTAATGTATAGCTTCCATAGTAGACCTATCCAGCATGAATGCTACAATAGTAGAAGGATCATTTTGCAGAAGGAAGCATCTCATTTTGCAATTAGGTAACTCTTCATTTTCTATGTTTATTTCCTTTTTAATGAATTATGTCTTCATGCTTAGATAATAGCTTTGCAATATTTAATGGCAATTCCATGAAAATCATGTACTACGTTTGCTAGCTATTGCTATATAAAGACTTGTATACTTTCCTCATAACCCATGCCTATAAATAATTATTGAGTGACCTGATTTGAGTGAGTTGTGAATTCCACTATTCAAACACTAATTACATTCATATATGAAATTGTCATTTCAACAGTTCACCTCACTTATAACAAATGCAAATCTAGAAAATTTTATAAAATCTAACGATCTTTAGTGTTAACTAGTTAATTTGTTTACTTGCTTATTTTGTGTTGAATGACCCATACATGATTGAAAGTTCAAATGTTCAAGTGTTATCATTTTCTTGTAAGTTACTATGCACACACCACTTCACATACAACACCAACTTAACATGCAACTTAAATAAAATATATTCGCTTATATACTTGCATTGTCTATACACAACAAACACAATAAACAAATGCCATCAAAATTAACATTGATGGAACAATTTGAGAGTTTATTTAATATGGTAGAAGACCTTAGTGTTCAGGCATATGACCATGACGCTAGCCTAAACCAAGTGCAACATACCTTAGATGAATACGAGGATAAGTTGCAAATAATTTTTTTATGCCACAACAGTTTAATTTAACCAAATAAATCTTACATTACCTATGCCTTTAGTCCCTACCCAACCCATCCCTCCTATAAATAATCCATCATTAGGAGAAAAGCATCCTATTAGGATCCCTTCAGCTAATAGGAATGGAGGTGAAACCAATCAAAATAATGGAGAGGGTTTCAATAATCACAATAGAAAACTCAATAAAAGCCCACACTTTTTATGGGTTCATGACCCCATCAAATTTCTAGATTGGCTCAGTTAGATGGATAAGTTCTTTGAGTGGTACTAAATAAATGATTATCAAAGGGAGAAATTTGCTAAAATGAAAGTGATTTTTCAAGCAAAAATGTATTAGTCAATTTTTTAGGCAAAGGATGCTTATGTAGGGAGAGTATTCATGACATGGGTAGAGATGAAAGAAATGCTAAGATCGACATGATAAAAAGGTACATACGTAGTTGAAGCACTCAAGAATGCAGGTGATTGAGTAACATAATATTTTTGAGGATTTAGTGGCTAGGACTGGCTATATTGATATCCATTGGCAACTTGCCGACAAGTTTGTGATGAATTTAAAATGAAAACTAAGAATGATATAGACTACATGATCCTCAAACCCTTGAGGGTGCATTACAATATGCTCTCCTCATTAACAAACAAAAGAAGTCATCCCTAAGATTAGAACTCAGACAACTACATTTTC